GCAATTTAACCTTTTTCAGTCAAATTAAGTTAACCCAAAACACTTCAGGCTTATTAGCATATGAATGTCAAACATTTGCTCTGCTGTTGAAATTGAAAGGTTTTGTAGTGAAAATAAATTGAAAGAATGGCTTATTTATTGAATGGATTTTTCCTGTTATTTGGTCAATGTTTGTAATATATTGGATAATGTGAAAATTTGCACTTGTCCTTTCAAAAAAAATTTGCATTAATATAAGTACCTGAAAAAGACTTAATGAAGTGATGATACATTATGTAGTTATAATTAATTAGAACAAAGTTACATTTAAACCAATGTACTGAGTTATATTTTATTATAATAATTATGTGTATATCATTCTTAAAGCTACAGCCACAAATTATGGAAACTAAAATATGCTAAAATGATCTAAAATAAATAAAATAGATAAATTAAATAAGATGAATTTAATTTGACTGTTTAAAATTCATACTCTGAATAGATATATATATATATATGTTGCATACACCGTAATACTGATCAGAAATTTGTCGCTTGACTTGGAAAAAGTATGTCTGACAAGCAGTCTGTTATGCAAATTCACTTATCTCATATATATGAAAACTTCTTTTATATACCATTCCTATTCCTGCATGTAACTTAAACAACACTTACACACTGGAATAGGAATGGTACTATACATTTATGATGTTTCCAGGATTAACCCGTTGTCCGAGTAAATGCATAGGGCTAAATGCTCAAAACGTCAGCTTTACAAGATGGCGTTTAGAGTTGATTTGCTGGAGTTGGAAGAACCAACCAATCACAAGCCTGGGAATAGAACATAATGGTTTATTCTTCTGCTTCCGCGTCCGACTCTGACAATGTAGTTTTCACTGAATCATAAGGGACGGAGTCATGCATGAGTGGAATGGGTGTTCTGTTTCCGACTCCATCTGTTTAATTTTCACTACATTGCATCGTGCTACACTACTGATTATGACTCTGTCACTAGTGAAAACCAGTTCTTAGGAACCTAACAACTTTACTTAATGCCGTAAAACCCTACTCAGGCAACCACCTAAAATGGTGGGCCCACGTGTTGGTGTGAAGGCAGGGTGGCCTCATGGTTTGTGAATTGAACAGTCTGGGTTCGAGTCCTGGT